TGGTGTCTGGGGTTGCTGACCCAGTCACAGAAATCAGAGGAGGTTGGAAGGGACATCCAGAGATCATCTAGTCCAACTCTCTGCCTGAGGCCATTGCACCGCCCTAGTTACAAACTGGGTAGCAGTGCAGTGTATTGGTTTTATTTCTGTACATGTTCCCAAATGTAACAGCCTTTTGTCTTGTGTCTTTCTGTCTTATATAATCAACCTGTTTGGGGTTTTTACCTTACCATTGTCTTGTGATGAGTGATTTCAGGGTGGCTGGCATCAACAGGCATGCTATTCCTATGGGGATAGCAAACCCATTTTTTGCAAACCCAGGGAACCCTAGGAGTTCACAGGCCCCTACTCCACTAAGCTGTAAGATCCAGTCTGGATGCTGCTGGGACAAAGTCTTGCTAGTGAGAGAAAAGTCTGCCATGTACAAGATGGAGTCAGGTTCCTGAGAATACACAGCAAAATGACGGGGAGAAGGCCTGGAGTTCTGGGGTTATCCCAAGGTAAGAATGAGATTTATCACAACTACTGAGGGTCTACAGCTTAGACACTCTCCTGCTATTGCTAGCAGGGGGTGTAATTAACATTCTCTGAGGAGGCCTCAATCTGCTTTGGGAAGTTTCAGGTGTGAAAAGAGGCTATGTGGAGAGGATGTGCTGAGGAAGTATGGAGATGTCAAAGAGCTGAAACAGTACCAAGAGGAACACAGTATTATAAGCAGCACAGCAGATACTGAACACCTGGTGAGAGAGAGTGTGGGAGAATCTTGATGTGTATGAAAGCTTTGAATTCTGGATTTTTAAAAATACCTCAAGCATTTAAATAAACAATATTACATAGGTCTTATTGGGCTTTTCTCTTTTCTAGTTTCAACAGAGTAGCAGGTGGGGTTAAGTTTCTGGGGTATTGTCTGGCCAGTCATCTTATTATTATAGTTTAATATTTTGTTCTGTTTTTATAATTTATCCGGTTTTATTGTAAACTGCCCTGAGCCTTTTTGGGAAGCATAGAAATCCAATAAATAAATGAAAAAAGCCTCTGTTATCAGGCAGAATCACAATTACTATATGTAGCAGTGGCTGGGGCGCAGCCCCTGTTAGACCCCCCATGGGAGGGGCGGTGCTGGTGGGAATCTCATTTGGTGGTGTCTGGGTGAGCTTCCCCAGCATACAAAAGACAAGCTCCAGCAGAAAACTCGCCCAGCAGGGTCTGGACAAGCTGCAGGACCCAATCTGGCATGCCAGAGAACTCTAGGCAGGGGAGGGGGGAGCTCACCTGGCAGGGTCTGGATAGGCCACGCTTCCCTGGAGCACTGAAAAAAATCTCTAGGGGAAAACTGGAGTGACACACCAGTTTCAGGGTCTGGGGAACACATGCCCTGGAAGCTAGTGCTGGTTGGATCAGAGGAAGCCCGCATGGTTTAAAAAAAGGATGCCAAAAGAGGTTCAGCATTTGGTGTCCAGGGGAACAAAGGTGATACAGCAGGACCGGAAAGAGGATTCCACCGCACTGGAGACTCAACAAGCTGAACCCTTGTAGGACATCAGGATACTGCAACCATGAGTGAATGGGCAACCTGACCCATTGAGCAAGATAATTGACACTGGACGGCAGGGTAGTGGTGGGTGGACTCCCAAGCCATTGGGGCTGGGACACATGGAGAGAGTATCCAAAAAAAGGTTGTTGAACCCACCAGGAAAGTGGGCACAAATCGACCACAGAGACAGGGTTAACCTCGAGGGACCCCACGATAGCCCAGGTAAAGGAGGGATTTGCCTGGATAGACTGAGTATACAGCCAACAGGTTCAAACCAGCTACAGGGAGCTGAGCTAGACCTTCAAACCTGGGTTCAGAGGGTTTTTTTTTCTCTTCCAGGCTCTTACAAACAAAGGGTGAGAGCCTGTTTATTTTTTTATTTAGCACTCCCAGACAAGGAAAGGATAGCAAAGGGAAGATAGATCCCCTGTGGATCTGAGTTACAGCTAATTAGGTTATAATACATACACCTGGGCCCTATAGAGCTGCCTACTTGAGGATCTTGGAGACAAGCAGGCAGAGATTTCACCACCCAAGGTCCACCAGCCCCAGGGAGAAGAAAAGTGATTGCAGATTAGACTGGAACATCAAAACCTGAAGAGAGAGACTTATCTTGGGGGCAGACACCAACCAGTTGTAGAGCAAGTAACCAAACTGGGTTGGGGAGAAACCAAGACCCAGTGACTTGTGCTCACTGTCCACAGAGAAGTATGACTCATCACTTGAGAGGAAAGGGGCAGGGTGTAGCGGTGGCGGAGCCCTGTGGAAGACCAACCCTTATCAGTCAGACTAACACTCTACATACCATCCAACCTCCTAAAGAATAGCATAACATTAAGATGGGAGAGAGGGAGTAAAGATGAGGTAGATGTCCCAGTGATCATAGCAGGAGAAAGGGGAGGTGAGTGGACACACCCACACTACACAATTCCCAAACTTTCTCAAAATACAAATAAAAACAGAACACTTGCAAGCCTATTAATTAATACATTTTGAAATGAATCCCACAAATTAATTATGATGTGTGTTTTCTATACTGTATTTTAGCTGGAAACCTGTAGCTAGTTAACACAACATAAAAGTGGCAGTTTTTTCAGGAGTAAGCTAGCAATGCCGTAACTTAAGGTTACCAGTTGGTAACGTGGGAAAGAAACACCTGGGCAGTGCTGTACTTGTGTTTTGTATTTTACAGACTTGCACAAGCATTACTGTATTTCTTCATGTACTGTAAAATCCCACATAAATTATGAAAATGAGTTCCAGTGGAGCATATCCAAGTATATAAAAATCTATAATGCAAATTAGTATTTTCGATTAATAACTGTGAAGTTACAGTGGATGCTTAGTTGTTATGGAACGGCATTTATTTGAGACCTTAAATGGATTTCTGTAAAAAAGAATAGTGGTTTACAGGGCTCAGTAAGAATAGTCAAGCTTTCTTAAGAAACTAAGAGTGAGCTCTAGCCACTGGCTTCATTACAGCTTGAAAATATAGGCAGGTGTTTACTTCAAGGTTCACAAATCTTTTCTTAACTGTGGCCAGGATTTGGACAAACCTGACCCAAACTGAAATTTTGGATAGGAAGCACTGGTTTCCTGTTTTATCCCACAGTGGCATGGGAGGGCAAGCGGGGCCATGGAAGAAATGGAGGTGAAAACAGGGTCCCTGGGGGTTTGGAAGGATCAGGAGGGCAAGTAGGGCTTGGGAGGGTTTGGCAAGATCAGAGGGGCTAGCTCAGTCTTCAGGGGGCTTGGTAAAATGGACTAGCAGGGTCTGTGACAGGGTTTAGTGGGATCGGGGGCTAGTGGGGTCCATGGTTGGTAGGGTCCAAAAGAGTTTAGCAGGATCAGGGGGGCTAGCAGGGCCCAAGGTGGGGGAGAGGGAGATTTGGGGAATTGGGACAGAGGGTTGGCAGGATCAGAAATGGTCTTTAATCCAGCCTCCTCCTCCTCCCCGATGCCACCAAATTGCTCCTGGTCCTGCAAACCACTCCCAGGGCTGGTTTTACTGGCATTCACTGATTCTGAAAGCCTAAGTGAAGTAAATTAGGATGGGGGAGGAGAATGGATGGGGTGGGGAAGACTGGTAGCTCTGCAGGGTGGGTGTCAGCACAGGTGGGGCTCTCGCTCGCCCAGGACAAGGGGCTATTTTCAGCCCTCCCTACCTCCCCCTGCACAGTGAACCAATCCCCCCCTCTGGTTCCCCCCCACCCCACCCCACCCCA